CGCCTCACCTCCGCCCTCCCCAGCCTACCTTATAGTTCTGGTGGGACTCAAAGTTGGAGAGAGGAGTGTTGCAGGCTGTCGAGAAGGGCATCACCTTCACACCGCGGTAAACTAGCCCTTTGTCGTAGAGCTGCCGGAACACCCACCTGGCGACGCAGGAAACCCATCAACTTTCCTAGGAAAGGGCAGCCCGCCCGGACCACTCTCTCCTGCCAACCGGCCCACAGTCACCAAGACTGCAGGGGCCGCCTCCTCCTCCTCTGCAAATGTCTGTATTGGCCTAGCCAAGTGTGGACAAGGGAGAGTGGCCAGTGGATTATTTGGCCCTGAGGGACAAACCCATGTGCTGAGGAAGGCAGAGGGAGAAGCTGGGGGATTGGCAGGTCGAGTGGGGGTGGGGCTGCACTGACAAAAATCTCACCTACAAGGGGAGCCCCAGTAGCCCAGCCTGGCCTGCTGTCCCAAGCCTGGAGCTTCTGAGAGGCCTAGCCATGGCCCAGCACGAGCCCCCAACTCACCACACTGACTCCATGAACTCGGGGTACAGGGTTTTATAGTCATTCTCAAAGTCAATCCAGCGGCCCAGCCTGGAGATGGTGACCTGGTGAAGTAGGAACAAGGTCATTAGTGAGCAGCAGTGTCTGCCATCTCCAGGAGAGTTTCCCAGGCTCTTTCATCTGCCTACCACGGGAGGGAGCTACTGCTCACGGGGCGGTGGGTGAGCCTGGGACCTCCTACTAAAGGAGGGGAAAGAACTGGAAATTAAGGGGATGCCCATTCACTGGGGAATGGCTGAACAAGTTGTGGTATATGATGAACGTTATTGTGCTATAAGAAACGATGAGTTCAATGATTTTAGAAAAACGTGGAAAGACTTACATGAAATAACGAGGGCAGAACAGTGAAAACATCATATGTGGTAATAGCAATTTTGTTCTAAGGACATCTTTGAGAAAATAAGTTACGTTGACTATTATAAACCCCCAAATTAAGAAAGATGCTCTCTGCATCCAGAGAAAGAACTGATAAGCAGAAGCATATCTAGAATGACTTTTACACATATACACATTTGTGAGAGAAGAAAGTGACCTGATATCTTTATCATATATTTGAAAGGAACAGCAAGTTGTACACAACAGATTTACAGTTTCATGTAAAAAAAACTTAAAAACGTAAAAAGTTCTGCTATGTTATGGAAATGCTTGTTCTATTCCATGAATTAAAAATGAGATAAATCTTTTAAAAAGCGAAGGGCGGTGGGCGTGGGGGTCCTGGCCCTCCTGCTCTCTTTCCAAAGCACAGCATATCAGACAGAACTCCGGACCAGGTTCGAGACTTCTCCTGGCCACTGACTAGCTCTGGGGCAAGGCTGCTGTTGTTCCAACTTCATTACAGGATACCCCAGCAGGACCCTCCCTCCCCTTCGGCTGCCTCAGACACTGGGGAAGAGTCTCCAGACCCACCCAACTCTCAGTACCTTCCACTCAGCCGCGTATCTCATCACGATTCCTCTGCACTGGCGATTGTACTCAGCGATGCCCATCTTGGCCACATCCTCTGGCCCTCTGATTCCCAGGGACTTGTCGATCTCATATTCCTGAAAAGAAAAGATGCACTGGGACTGAGCCTGCCTCCCACGGGGCTCCCACTCTCCTGCCATTTGGGGTCTGTGAAGGGGCTCCCTACTGAGGCTCTAATGCCATGAGACCCCACATCCACGTTCTACTGGGCCAGGAGAGGCTCCAGAGAGCACCTGCTGGAGGCCACAGCATAGCGTCAGGAGGCCAAGAGAACCCTGGAGAAGCGCACTGCCAGGGAGGCCAGAGCCCCAGCGTACCACAGGTAAGCCGTGGCAGTCCCAGCCAAATCTTCTGTCCACGTGGAACCCACTCTGGTGAGCGTATCTGGTGACGATGTCCTTGATGGTGCCCGCCAGGATGTGTCCATAGTGAGGAAGCCCCGTCGCAAATGGAGGCCCATCGTAGAAGGTATACCTGTGGGAGGCAACGAGGAGAAAGAGGACATCGTCCTGTCATTTTAAAGCATGTTAGGACTGACATCCAGACCCGGGGCCCACGGCAGGGCAAAGGGGGCCCGAAGCAAGACTCGAGTTAGCAATAGCCACGACAAACAGCTGGCTAGCAAGCACCACCACCCCCCCACCCCGCCCCATCTGCACAAGGGAGGAGATGCGACCCAGCCAGGCTGGCCAGTCCTCCCCTCAGGGAGTTTCTGGTCTGGCTGGGGAAAGAACTAGAAACAAGGTAACAAAGTAACAATGCAAGAGAGTCAGCAAAGCTGTGCGTCACCTGAGCAGGTAGCACAGAGAACACTCTGAGAGAAGAGGTGGGAGATCTGGACGGGAGCAAGACAGGGAGGGAGCCCAGGAAAGGGAGGGCCTGAAAGCCAGGATCTGAAGTCTGGACACCAGCCCCTGCCCAAGCAAGGGGACACCTTCGGGGCTCGGGACAGGATGTGACTGGCACTTCTGGAGAAGCCCAGCTCAGAGCTAGGCTGAAAAGGCCTGGGGTGGCTGTGAGGCCACTCGGATTAATTTCAAGGAAACAGGTTCACAGCATGGCTGCGCTCGTCCACTCACCGGGGTCTGTTTTTGGACTGCTTCAAGCATTCCCTGAAACAACTGAAGTGCGTCCAGAACTCCAAGATTTTCTCTTCCTCATCAGGAAAGCTGATGTTTTCTGGGACCTGCTGGACCATTTTGTTGCTGGAGAGAGAAGAGCTCTGCGTCACTCTTTGTCACCTCGAACACAAGGTCCACCCCCACTCCCAACATGTGGCTGTCAACGGGGCTGGGTAAGCACAGAGCCAGCCAGAAATGCAGCCGAGCGGATCGATCCCACAGCCACCCCGCCACCCAGGAAGGAGAGCCAGCGGTGGCACACGCGGGCCCTCACGCTAGAGGTGCAGCTGTCCCAGGGAGCCCCGGCCAAGTATCCTGCCGGATGAGAGAGTGCGGCCGAGGCCCCAGAACCCTGTACTCCTGGACCCCGCCAAGAACCCAAGGGCTGCGCTGAGCACAGTTGCCTTCCTAGAAATAACATCGAGTGTCACCAAATAACTGAGGCTTCAATTCAAGAAGTGGTCCAGAGCATGGCATGCCCGACACAGAGGCAGGGAGAACTGGCTTCCAATTCTACCAGACGCTTATCAGCTCATCTGCAAAATGGGTGTGTTCCTGAGCATGCAGCCCTTGGCAAACTATCGTGATGGATTTAATCTTATAAAAGAAAGCTCTCTTCCTCTTGGAGACACGATTTCCCCTTTACAGAAACACTAGCTGTCTCCCACACAAGGGCTGCTGAAAAAGCAGCAGCTGCCACTTTTGCCCAGGCATTGTGGCCCCCCTCAAGCCAAGAGACCTCTGCCCAAAGGACACCAGCAGGACACAGGCTGGAGGCTAGGCCAAGCACCTCTTCCCCAGTGCGAGTGCTCTTGCCTTCTGCTGAGTCATTCCATCCAACCAATAAGCATTTATTAGGCACCTCTTGCATACGGGGCACCAAAGACAATTCTTCAGGTTCTCAGCTACCTTCACTGGGCAGGCTCTTTGTCATCTGCTTTTTGTCTCCATCCTTGAGGGAGTGCACGGGAGAGTCTGTGCCCATCTGTGCTGATGACCAGGGCTCCCCCACCCCCCAACCCTCCTGCCCTGACTTCAGCCATCTAGAACACAGCACAGAACCAGGCAGCAAGCAGGCCTGGGAAGCCACGACCACCTGGGATATCCAGGCATTGTCCCAGAAGATCTTGCTGAATCATTTCATCTATTTCATCAGTCCCAGTGGGACTCTGGGTTCAGACTGAAGGCCTGGGGCTGAATCCCAGCCCTCCCAGAAGGGGACCGGCCTCGAGGCCCTCTACCGGGCCTGGGCGCTCCCCTAAATCGACAATGAAGGAACGCAGCCCACAGTCCACTGGGTGCAGGTTCTGTGATAAGCTAAGAGCAAGGGCAGAGGCAAAAAACTGCCCAAATCAGACTGATTCCCAGAAGGCGACCAGACGGAGGCTTCAGTCGGCCCCAAAAGGGCCCCAGTGACAATCCACGGGCCTCCTTACCTGCTGGTGCTGCCTCAGGGGCATCTCTCGGACAGGCCCCGTCCCTCTGTGCTGGCCTCCCTCTTGCCCCAGCCCCCAAGGTTCCCTCCTCAACCCTAGCCTCTCTCCTCTGGTCGCCCCCGGTGATCCCATGGCCTTCTATGGCTTCAATGGCCAGCTCTGTGATACAGCCCGAGCTCTGGTCCTGCCCACTAGACACCAGCTTCCCACCCAGAGGCTTGCGTGTCAGAGCTTTCAACTAAAAACCTACAACACTGCCTGTTTCTGCAGAGAAGCAAAGGATTTGAGATCTCAGGCCTGATGGGACGGCCACTGAGCTCAGCCCCCTCATTTAACAGAGGAGGAAACCAAAGGTACTGAGGTTATGTGACTTGGCCAGGGTCACACAGCAAGGTCTTCTGATTCCAAGTCCAACGTCCTACCTTGCGCAGAGAGGGTGCCCAGGTAGCGCTCACCTGCCACCCGATCACTTCCCTCTAATTAGGGAGAACCCCTCACTGTCAAAAGCAGAAAAGCCAGGGGGTCTAAGAGTCCGAGGAGGGCCCAGATCTGGGCCAGAGACACAGGCTAAGACCTCCAGATGAAGCCCCAGGGACTGGTTTTCTTAGTCTGGCTGGCTGGGGGTCTGTAAGCAGGTCCCTCCTCCCCACGGCCGGCCCCCCCCCCCCACTCCACGACCTGCTTCTAGCCCCCCTCCTGCTGCATGCAGGGCACATTCTCAGGGGGTCTTGCAACCCCCTCCCTGCCTCAGCTCCGGGTCTCTCTCTCTCCCAAGCCAGGAGAGACCTGTTGGGGAGCTTGGACCCTCCCCCTGCACCGTGGCTTTAGTCCCTGCTACACGGCCCTGCTCTCCGTCCCTGGCACCTGCGGCCTCTCTTCCAAGCCCCCGTTGTTGGCAGCCCTGGCCTGAGCTCTGCCCGCTGACGTGTTCCAGTGACCGGGCTGTGGGGGCTGCCAGGGGGACGCAGCCCCCACGCATACATCACTGCGCCTGCTTGCTCTGGGCCCTTCTTCACAGCCTGGCGAGCTACACTGACATCATAGCGTCCAGGAACCACGGGGCCATGCCCAGCAGGGGCGGGGCGGGCAGAGCCAGGACCGGACCGGCACTGGCACCGGCACCATCTCCAGGCCTGGATATTGGGGGGGGAGGGTAAGGGTCCTTCCTGCCGCCCTTCCCCCACCCCGGGGGGGGCCACCCAGAGGGACCACAAGAGGGCGGGACCTGGCACACAGTAGGGCTGAGCTAACCCAGCCTTCCAAAAGGGGAAAGGAGGAAGTGTCTGCAAAGCCCAGGCCCCGAGGGCGACCCCTGCCCTGGCCTGAGGATGCCCAGGAGGATGCCCGCTGGCGCTCACGTTGCCGCTGCTTCACAAATGCCATTAACCCCTCTGCCCTTCACCCCACCCTGGAGGGCACCGCTCTCATGACCCCCACTTTACAGAAAGGGGCACAGGCACGCAGCGGGCGGGAACTGGCTGGCACCGGGGACCTGCACCCTGGGGGGGGGAGGGGGAAGGGCCCCGACCTTTGCCGTCACTGGGTCAAGGCACTCCCGGTGAGGAAAGCCCCTCCCTGCAGCAAGGCCCGAGGGACCACGCGGCTGAACCTTTCCGGACCTCAGTTTCCCCCCTTTCTGGGCCCTACGGCTTCCCGCTCCGTCCACGTGTAGCGCCCAGGGCCGCAAAGAAGATCCCGAGAGACGAGGGGCCCCCAGGCGCAGCCAGAGCCGGACACGGGCGCCCTCCCTCTGCCGGGCCCGGGGCACTCACCTGCGGGCGGCCGGCGGCTGGGCGACCCCGGCAGAATGATGCAAGCGGAGGAAAGCATGAGCGGAAGCGGAAGGGCGGGCCGGGCCGCCGGCGCAGCCAATCAGCGCTCAGGGCCGAGGCCGGCCAACAAGGCGGCGGCCGATTGGCGGAGCGGTGTCCTGGCAACGGGGAGGACGCCGGAGGGCGGGGCCATGGCAGCATCCTCCTGGGGCGCCTGACCTGGGGTGGCTGAGAAAGCCGATCCTCTCTGGTGGCCCCTCGCCCTCTCTGGCGGCCCCTCGCCCTCTCTGGCCTCAGTTTCCCTTTCTGAGAAATTAGTAGCCTCGATAATCATGGCTAGCGTTTAGGTAGCGCTTTTAAGGGTGCAAAGCGCTTTACAAACAGGACCTCATTTGATCCTCCCAACATCCCTGGGGGGTGGTGCTGTTATCCTCAGTTTATAGCTTGGGAAGCTGAGGCAGGCCCGGGGCAGTGACGTGCCTAGGGCCACCCTGCCTGCAGGCTGCAGGCCCCAACCACTGATCTTCCTGGCGGGGTCTGGAGTCAAGAACCTGCCGCCAGGGCCTCCTCCTCCAGTCTGGTCATCTCTCTCACCCCCGGGCAGTCCCAGGACCGCCTACCTCATCTGACCCAGAGCTCTTGCTGGGTCTGCAGGTATTCGGCTGGTCAGCGCCTGGCCTGCTGTGGCGTGTCCAGGCCACCCTGTGCATGGGATGGGGCCTCAAAGGATGGGCTGCCTTCCCCGCTAGAACGTCCATTCCTTGAGGTCAAGACTGCCAGGATGTTGCAAGCGCTCAGGCCGTGGTGGGCCACCCCTCCCTCTGCTCTCATGGACTTTCCCTCTTAAGGGGTCAGGCCACTGGTCAACAACCCAGAACCAGGGCAGTGCTCCTGGCAGGACCACAAGCCATCCTTCAGCCACACTCAGCATGCGGACCCTGCAGCCAGGCCCCTCCTCCGGGACTCTCTCCCGGCTTCCCCTTCACATCCCCGTGACAGGCCGGCTCCCCTGGTCAAATGCTTCAAATCCCCACGTGGGTCAGAACGGGTTCTGGGCCCACAGTCCCTAACCTTCTGCCACTGATCCCTATGTGCCTGAAGTCGACCACATATGCCCACAGAAGCAATCAATTCTGTTGAAAGGTAAGTTCTGGACTTGTGGCTTCAAGAGGCAGATGCCCAGGGGCAGGCCCCGGGCTCTCCTCACCTGTACCTCAGGCTGGCTGGTGCATCTGGCCTGTCATTCACGCCTCGGGGATCCCCCATCTAGGCTCAGGAAGGCTGGTGGAGCCAATGTTCCTCTCTCCTCCCACCCCCCGAAGCCCCCCAGGAGAAGGAGAGCCCCAGGCTCTCGCTGACCTGTCGTAGGTCAGTGACCTCCTCATCATAGACACACACAGAGAAAAAAAAAGATTGTTCTGTTTATATTTCTAAAAATAATCTCAAAATAGGAGACAAGCCACTTTTGTACAGTCATAAATAAAAAGCCGTCTCATTTACACCAAAAGTCAGTACTGAAAATAGCAACAAGGAAGGGCTCGTCAGAATGTCGGTCCCAATGGGCTGGAGGCTGAACGGCGGTAACCCAGGCCCACTTTGGCTTCTTTTAAAAAATAAACGTTTTTTCCTCTTTTACATCAATCGAGACGATATTACATTCACTCAAAAGGTTTCCTAAAGCCAGTGGAGAGAAAACAGCAGGGAGCTTTGTCTGCTGAAAGCCACCCAGGCCAGGTGAGTCTGAGGCTCGTGGCAGCCCCTTCTCCTCAGTGTGGCCTGGTAGGGTCCTCATGCCCCACTGGCACATGCAGACTCAAGCTCTTTGGAGGCTTCATACCTGAATGAATGCGACTGGGTAATACTTAACAGAACAGACAATACAGCAAACATGGAGAACACTGACCCGCGCCTTCAGGGACCCTGGCGGGAAGTCCAGAGGCCTGGACACTCCCAGGAGCTAGAGAGAGGCCTCAGCACTGTCCCAGCCAGGGCTCCTGGCTTCAGAGTGGGCCCTCAGGCCACGTCTTCCTGAAGCCGGTCCCTCCGAGGCCTCAAAGGGAGGGCGCCTGGCCCCTGACTGGCCATGGTCATCTCTAAGGCTTGGCTTTCCTCCTGGCTGCTTTGTGTTTCTTCCGGCAATCCTAGAGAAACAAGAGCACAGCTTGTGGGGCCAGGGTGGGTCGGGCCCAACACCCACCAGGTAGCTCTGGGTTTACCTCCGCACCAAGGGAACAGCACCAGGGGCTCTCCCTCCTACCTGTTGGGGACACACAGGCTCCCCTCCCCCAGAGCCACACTTGGCTAGGCCTCTCCCTCCTCCCCCCGGGGACCTGCTGCCCTCATTCACCTGCAGCAGAGCCACGGTTCTGGACTCCCAGTCTTCACTGCTGGGCTGGCTTCCTGAGGCTTGCCAGAATGACCCAGGACCCACTGAAGAGAAAATAGACACACATGTTTCCAGGAAGAAAGTTGACAAGATCATCCCTATGGTGACCACACAGGTTTCTGCTTATCCTCCCGTGTTCCCCACAAGTGACCCTCCAGCTCTCTCCAGACCTTGAGGCAGGAGAGCTGGGTTCTAACCCTGTCGTGGACATGCAGCCGCTGTGAGTTTGAACATTAAGTCACTTGATGCCTCAGTTTCTCCTGCTGTAAAATGGGGATCCTCCATCTGACCCTACGTCAGGACCTCTCAACGAGGACCTCTCACAATGCCACGCACCAAGGCAATTCTCTGCTCCCACCATTAGAAGTGATTTTCCCAGAAGTTCTGGAAGTCCATCTGGCACAAAGGCTCTGTGAGCAGAGCGCAGGCACTGACCAGGCCTCCAGGCTGCAGGGGAAACCCCTGGGGATGAGCCTCTGTGATGTGGAGGACACGGCAGGTCCTGGACGGTCAGGCCCTCAATCCAGAGAGCTGGGGCAGAGAGCTCCCCCAGGAGGGAGGAGTGGGGCTGCCCGGGGCTTCCAATGCCAGGTGATCTCAGGGCCAGGGGCAAAGTCAGACCCTCACTGCAGCAGTGTGAGGAATGGATGGAAGCAAAGAAACCAGTTAGGACGCAGCAAAGGAGTGTGGAGCAGGGAAAAGCAGGACAGGAGCCCGGGGAAGCGTCCAGTGTTCACCGCTTAGCCAAATCTGCCCAATAACTCATGATGCAGGAGGCGACTGGCAGGCCCTGGGCCTGGGAAAGGGAGCCAAGAGTGGAGAAGGGCGTGTGCCTGAGGTAGCAGTGTCCAGGGTCAAGGCTGGCCTGAGAACACCAAGGCCACAGCAAGCAGCCAGGCTGGGAGAAGAGGGATGAAAAGCAGGCTGGGGCAGGGGAGGGAGGGGGGCCGGTGAAGCCAGAGATGGAGGCCCAAGGGCTCACCCAGTCCTGCGGTGGTGGCCACCCGCAGGCGTAAGGCAGCGGCAGGGCCACGAGTCTGGCGAGCCTGGCCTTAGCCTAAGGTCTGACGGGAGGAAGGAGGCAGGACTAATGAGTAAACAGGAAGAATCCTGCCAGAAAAGGCCGTTGGGGGAGGGGACGACCCCAAACACCCAGAAGCAAAGCTTCTGTGCCAAGCACAGCCCGGCACAAACCCAGCCACAGCTCATGGACTAGATGAAGCCAAATGAGAAGCCAGCACGGCTCAGAAACACAGCTCGCAGGAGATGAGAACAGCCATGCACTTAGGGACTTGGGGTGAGGGTTAGGAGAGGTGAAGGACCTCTAAGCAAAACCACCGACCCGCTAACGGAGGAGGAGAGAACACTGGCCGCCCAGGGAGCGCGCCCCCCCAACCCCGGCGCCTCCAGGAGCTCCGGGCGGGGCCACCCTGCCAAGAGTAAGCGGCCCCAACCCAGCAGAGACAGACCCTAGGGCTGAGGAGGGATGCGAGGCCAACCACGGAAGCTAAGAAAGTGGGGAAGGCCAGCGTGAGCGGCCCAAATGGGGCTAAGCACTTAAGTCTAGCACGGGGAGATGACTCGGGTCCCTCATGCTGTCATCACTGGGGGGACACACAGAGGACCTAGGGGTGGCTCTGTGGGGTCTCGAGGATCTGAAAGAGTGTGGAAGAAAAAACACACCGGGCAGTGCGTGTGCGTGCACATAAGGCTGAGGGGAGGCAGTAACACCTGAAGCTCCCTCTCATCTGAACCGGTCAAAGGACAGATGATCCCACGCACATGCATAGGCAAAACACGTGCACACATGCACCACACGCATACACTCATATGCCACACACATATATACATGCATACTTCCATCGCACACGCACACACACACACACCTGGGCACAGAAATCGCCGACCTAACAGGGAAATAGGAGAGGAAGGGGAGGGGAGCATCAGGGACAGGGAGGTAGAGGATGGCGGGCTCAGGCTGGGTAGCAGCTGGACGAGGTGCGGCTCTGAAGGCGACAGACACCTCCCCCTTGGTGGGGCTGCCTGGAGACCCTGGGGTGGGGGGGCCCTGGGCCTGCCTCGGGTCAGGCTGGCTTCCTCCTCCCGTGGGCAGCCAGGCCAGAGAGCCCTCCAAGCTCCCCAGGCTCCCCTAAGACAGGCCGCTCTCATTGCAGAGGATTAACAGAAATTCCCTAGATGAAAGAGCGACCCTGCCCTCATGCCCACTGCCTGCCCTGAGGCCTGAGGGTGGTTGGCTGCGCCTCACCCTGCCCTCAGGGGCCGACTCCAGAACACCAAGCTAGCCTTTTTCTAGCCAGGGCCCCTGAGGGTGCTGAGCCGTGCCCTCTCAAAGGCTGGACTAGAGATATTCTGCCAACTAAAATAAAAAACAAAACCAGCCTTACCACGTAATCTTTCATCATTCTCGGAGAAAAAGAAAAATCTCCTGGCTGGTTTTTCAGATGGCTGTGCTTCCCTGGAGAAACACAGAGAGAAGCGCTTACTTTCCAATGTAAGTGACCAGGGATAGTCCAGCCTGGCGGGGCCTGAGCATCATTCCCCCGAGGTCTCGCCTCTCCAGGCAGGCCGAGGCCAAGCGCTTTGGGGACCACAGTGGGTCCCTGTCCTCCCGCTGCACTCCTCCTCTTGCTCTGGCCCCAGGCAGCCAGATTCACTGGGAGGGAGGGAGAGAGGGAGGTGAGAGCACCAGGCCAGTGATGGCCTGGATCAGGGAGGTGCCTCTGACTTCTGTCAGAGTTCCCAACTTTCATCAGTGAACCAAAGGGGCGTCGGCCAGAAAGTGCTGGACAAAGCTGGCCAGACAAGGGACCACAGGTGACCCTGGCTCAGGACACGCAGGCCTGTGTATGTGTAAGGAGACCCGATGATGCTCTGTGGCGGAGGGAGGGCTCCAGCATCCCACAGGCCTGTGGTTGTCACGGAGCATTTCCTCTATTGACACAGACATGAGTGGGACACCCCCACACCCCTCGTCCTCCTCCAAGCAGATCAAACAGCTCTCTAAGGAAGCCCAAGAGGATCTGTGATGGGCCCAGAGGCCCACAGCTGGTCTGCGGAGGGCCAGACAGCAAGGACCCTCCCTCCACGGCCCAGGACCTCCACACCGGTGACGCCCCAGCCCTTCCACTGTCAGCAAGCCTAGCGAGCTCTGGTGCACGTCCATGACCACAGAGCATGAGGGGCCCCCGAAAGGCAAGCCGTGGGCATTTCACTCAATGCCCCATCTCCCGGGGCCCACAGGCGGCTCTCAAGCCTGGCTTACTCCGGCCTGGCCACTTCTCGGCTCCCATCGGCAGGCGCGGGTTCCTCCTCGTCTTCCTCCGAGCTACTGTCCTGGAAACGAGGGTCCCGCTGCCAGGCCATGCGCCCGGGAGGCCTGGCTTCAGTCTTGTACGGTTCTACACACAGAAAAGGAAGGGGTCAGGGCACCCACAGAAGGGAGGGCAGGCAAGCAGTGGACTCGGGGCTACCACCAAGGCTGCTGATTTTGCCTGGCCTTGTTCCTCTATTTCCAAGCCCTCTCAATGAGAAGCCTGGCGTAAAACAAGACTCCCTTCCTGACCAGGGAAACAGCTGCTGGTGTCACGCTCACAGGCATTCCTGGAGGTGTCTGGTTTAAAAAGAGGAAGCCTCTGAGAGGCCGAGGGAGGAGACACCTATGATCCACATTGTAGACGTCACCCTGGGGGCCTCGTCTGGGGGCTGGAGGTGAGGAGCAGCTGACCTAAGGCCAGAGCTCTGGCCCTTTGCTGGCCGTGTGATCTCGGCCAGGGACCATCCCCTGCACCCCCCGCCCCACCCTGTAGTTAGTGGGGGTCCTGCCCCGGAATCTGCCTGGCACCAAGGCAGAGCACCCCCAGGGCCAAGCCCCTTCCTTAGGCGGAGCGTACACCTTACAATGGGCGTTAGGGGGAACCCCACCTCTGTTCCCTGGCACAGCTCTCACACCCTCTTTTCCGGCTTACAAAAGAGGCCTCCAGGGCGCCTCTGGCAAGGTCAACTGGGGGGCCTTAGACAAGGGCCATGGGGAGCCAGGACCAGCAGGGCCAACCCCAACTCCCAAAGTGTCTGAGCTCTCTCCTCTGCTTCTCCCTTGTGGCCATAAGACATCCACCCTGTGACCCCAAAACCTCCCTGCACCATCATAAGACAAGTCCTCTGCCTGGCAGAAAGGGCAGTGAGCTCCTCGGGCCTGAGCTCCCCAAAGACTTGGGGTCCTCTCAGAGGGCTGACCTGAAGGCCTCAGCCCCCCCCACAATGGGCTCAAGGAACACATGGCATGGGGTGAAAGACCCCCCCCAAGCTAAAAACCAGAAATGACAAAGCAGAAGGAGGCGGCGGCTTCATGGGACTTGGGGGGACAAAGGACACCCCGAGCCAAGCGAGTGTTAGGAATGAACCTGCTCGAGGCCCAGGGGCCTGCTGGCCAGCCTGTCAGACCTCAGCTCTAAGAGGCCCTTGGGTGTTATGGCCTAGGCCGCCTTTGTCTGCAGAGGGCAGGGGCTCGTTCCATTTCTATGATGCCTACTACGCACCTGGCACAGAGAGCCTGTGGAGCATGACCTCACCAGGTGCTACAATGACCCTTAGTTTGTGATGACCTGCCCAGAGTGACCCAGCGGCAGGCCTGCCGGATGGCAGGATTTCCTGCCTCCAGGCCAGCCCTCTGACAGTCAGCGAGCTGATGCTGGGGCTGGGGAACGGCCCCACGGCCCCTCTTTACCTTGCTTGACCTCACTGACGTCTGGGCCGAAGAAGGAGAAGGTGAACTCGCCGAGGCCCTCGGGCGCTCCTGGGGCCGTGGCTGTCTCTGTCTCCTCGGGCGTCTCGTTCCAAGGGCCGGCAGCTCCAGTGCCCAGGGCTGGCGTCGTAGCCCTAAATCTCTCCTTGAGATCGGCAGCAATGCTGTGATACAGGTCTCTGGACACTTCAGGCAGCGTCTCGGCCTCTTCTCTTTTCCTTCTGCGTTTGGCTTTGCTGTTGTGGAGAACAGAGACGAGAGGCAGGAAAGGGAAGCTGGAGCCCACCTTATGTGGACACACCCCTCACCCCGAGTTCTCTGAAGAGGGCGGCCAGGGACTGCTGGCCGCTGAACACGGCCTCCAGTGTCACTCATTGTTATCAGGTCATTCCTCTACTTTCTTTATCTTGGTCAGCAGGCTTTATTAAGCATCTAGGGTGCGCTGGGCACTGTGCCAAGCACTGGGAAGACAAGGAGAGACCAAAGCCGGTCCCTGCCCTCGAGCTCACCCTCTAAGGGGAGACAACAAGCAGACAGATACGTATAAACCAGCTGCATACAGGACAAATAGGAAAGAGTGAACAGAGGACAGAGGGGCTGGGGACGGCTTCCTGTAAAAGGCGCCAGGATGTCAGGAGGCATGGAGGATGCCCGAGCCGAGGGGCGCACAGCCAGGAGGCCGGCGTCACTGGACTGGGAGGGGATGTGTGGTCTGTCCTTTGTCCTCAAAGAGGACCGTGACGTTAGGGAGGTGATGCTGTGACATGCACGTGAGGCAGGGCTGGGCACAGTCACCAGCCTCACTCTCTCCTCCGGAGTCATCTGGGTCCAGCGGTCAGACATGGATCAGGACAACTACAGACGGCCCCCGGGCAAGGCGGGAGCGGCCGGTTCTGAAGGGCTCTGAACGCCAAACGGCATTTTGTATGTGCTCCCAAAGGCAATACGGAGCCCCGGGGGCTTTGGTGTCAGGCCAGAGACAAGGGACACGAAACGAAGCTGCTACAGCAAAGAGACAGACAAACTGGAGAAGCAGGAGGAGAGGCACACCCCGAGAGAAGAGTGACCTGGAGTCTAGGCAGCTGACTCTCAGGACTGAGTGTCCAGTCCCTTCTGCTCCCACCCGCTGCAGGCTGGACGCCCGCCTGCTCCAAACCACTCCTGACCAAGGTGCCAGAACATGGCCCTTCTGCTCTCCAGTCTGGCCTTGGTGCCACCTGGCACAGTGCCCTGGCCCCCATCCCACACAGCCCCGACGTCTCCCATCTGATCCCGCCTCTCCGGTCCAGCCTATGACTTGCGGTCGAAGGGATTTATCCAAAGGGCACACGTGACCCCAACTCCTCCATTCGATCGATGCCAGCAGCTCCTTTCATAGATGCTCCGATGTACTTTCCCACCTCCCCTCTCAGGGAAGCACCCTGGTTCTTCCCCCATGACAATCCATCTCCCCTCTGTGCCAGTACAGGATTCCCCCAGCCCCAGGCGGCCACCTTCTACTGACCCTCACTGCACAGCATGCCTCGTCCCTCCGAGGTGAAGCCTTCTCTCACGCCACCCTCTCAATCCCGTTATTAAGGCCTTTGTCTTTCTCTCTGTACGCACGCACGCACGCACGTACATACACACAGAAAAAATGCCTGGGAGAGGCTCACTGTCTTCATCATTAGAGATTATTGTAATCTTTGCATCCCCCCCATTAACAAGTACCTAGGGGATGCTCACTAAATGCTTCTTAATTAATACCACCAATCAATCAACACACATTTGCTAGAAGAGTGAGAAATCTGACGGCTCTTTCACAGTTACGATAACTTGTTCTGAGGGGCTGCAGTCACGAAGACTCCTTAGGGGACGCACCCCAGGCCTCCAAATTGCCGCACTCTACGTCTGCTCCCCCGGGGAAGGAGGGTGTGGATGTGTGCGAGGGAATGACGGGGACAGCGAGATGTTTACCTTTCCTTTTCCTCAGGGTCGACTTTTCTTTCAAACGTGGCATGGTCCAACCTTGTCGGGTCATAGCGTACGATGTTTCTATGGTCAAGAGCGGAGGGGTCAGCAGAAGCCCTGGAGAGGCAGCTGCCCAAGGCGGAGGAAGGGCAGGATCGGGGCCTCAGGGGCCCTCCCGTCGCCCACAGACCCTCTGCGCCTGGCCGCGGCCTCGTCCGCCACCCAGGCTGGTGCCGTGACAGACGAGGCCCTCACGGGCTCTGAAGGGCCTGGCTGACCCAATGTGGAGCACGCACCTGAACTGCTTTGCAGCTGTTTCCTCTTTGCTCAGTTTCGGAGCCCGATGGCTGACGTGCAGAATGTTTTTAATCACCTCCATGTTTTTCTTCTTCTCAGCAATGAGCTCCTCTTCCTCGGCCGTCTCTGCTTCTTTTATCTCTTGAAGGTAAAGCGGAGTCTGAAATGTTAGAAACTCTCCTTTGCGTGAGACCCTTAGGGCCCATGGGGGACAGAGCCCCCTTTAGGCCAGTAGAGCCCTGGCCTCGGCCCTCATGCCTGTGTCCATCTCCCCCCAGTTTCCTTGGCTTCAAGGCCTCTCCAGCACCACCCCTCCCCAACACTCGCATCTCCCGCCTCAGACGATCTCCAATCTGTCCTGTGTCGTTGGCACGGTTTCTCCCCACCCAGCCCAGTGCCTGGCACACAGTGGACACCGAGCAAGGCCTGTTGCTGCTGAAGCTTAGAGACTCAGACTGGGGGGTGGGACCTAAGGGGCCATGCATCCCGCCTCTTCTGATGCCACATAACGATGACACTGTCTGGGGTGCCCTGAAGTCACACGGGCGGGAACAGGGAGCCACAGCATCTGAGCCCAGGGCTGCAGCTGTCGATCGACCTTCCTTTCACTTGCACTGGGCCCACCTCCTTCTCCGTAAGACGGCAAAGTTTCCTTAATTACAAAGGGGACAAAAAGGGGGCCGGCACCGAGGAAGAACTTGTTCAGCTGCTGAGTCATTTCAGTTGCATCCGACTCTCTGACCCCATTTGGAGTTTTCGTGGCAGAGATACTGGAATGGTTCGCCACTTCCTCCTGCAGCTAATTCTACAGATGAGGAAACTGAGGCAAACAGGGTGAAGTGACTTGCCCAGGGTCACCCAGCCAGTGTCCAGTGGAATCTGAACTCAGATTTTTGTGCACTGTGCCACCTAGAGGCCCAAGGAAGAACTACACTGCTGAACTAAGGAAACGTTTAAAATGTTTTTAAAAAACTAAATGATGCATTAAAAAAGTTGAGATTTGGATTGTTACTGAAGCCGAGTAGGCTTCTGTTTGTGAAAAATGGCATCAGTCCCTGGTTCCACAATGAACTTCCCCCAAAGGCCAGCTGGCTGCACCACACAGGGGCCCTGGGAAAGGAAGGCTCGCGCTCTTCAAGGCCAGGGCCGGCCAGGGCCTCAAGAAAGGCCTCGCTTCCCAAACACAGAGAGAACCGAGAAAACTCCTAAGAACACAAGTCATTCCCCAACTGGTAGATGCTGAAAGGATGTGAACAGGCAGTTCTCAGATGAAGAAATCAAAGTGATCTACAGTCCCAAGAGATGCTCGAGAGATGCTGATTAAAACAACTCTGAGGTACCACCTCACATCTGTCAGATTGTCTCATAGGACAGGAAAGGAAAATGACAAATTTTGGAAGGGATTTGGAACAACTGGGACACTAATGCACTGTTGGTGGAGTTGTGAACTGATCCAACCACTCTGGAGAGCTATTTGGAGCTATACCCAAAGGGCTATAAAAATGTGCATACCCTTTGACCCAGCGACAGCACTTCTAGGGCTGTATCCCAAAGAGATCACACAAACGGGAAAAGGACCCACATGTACAAAAACATTCATAGCAGCTCTTTTTGTGGTGGCAAAGAACCAGAAATTGAGGGGATGCCCATCCACTGGGGAATGGCTGAACAAGTTGTGGTAAAGGAATGTAATGGAATACTACTGTGCTATAAGAAATGATGAGGGTGCAAAGAACCTCAGAAAATGTATATGGTATTTATATGTTTACATTTTGCATTACATATATATTTATTTATACATTAACAGCAATACTGAATGATGATCAACCGTGAATGACTTAGCTATTCTCGGCAACAAAATGATTTAAGACAACTCCGAAGGACTCATGGCGAAAAACACCATCCATCCCTAGAGAAAGAACCGATGGAGTCTGAATGCAGATTGAAGCAGACTTTTTCTTTATTTTTCTCAGGGTTTTTTTGGTCTCTGTTTTTCCCATGACATGACTAACATGGAAGTATGTTTTGTGTGACTGTACATGCATAACCTATATCAAACTGCTTGCTTTCTCAATGGGGGGGAAAGAAAGGGGGAGAATTTGGAACTCAAAACTCTTTAAAAACAAAGGTTAAAAATTGTTTTTAGGGGTAGTTAGGTGGTGCAGTGGATAGAGCACTGGCCCTGGAGTCAGGACCTGAGTTCAAGTCCAGCTTCAGACACGTAACACTCACTAGCTATGTGACCCCAGGTCACTTAACCCCATTGCTAGCAAAAAAAAAAAAAAAAAATTTGTCTTTACGTAAAGTTGGAGAAATAAAATATTAAATTAAAAAAATAGAAAGACGAATGTTAAAAACTATCTTTACACGCAATTGGGAAAAAGTGCTACTAAGAAAAAAGAAAAAAAGAAAGGATGTTTCAGAAGAGACCCCTGGCTGCCATCCTGCCTGAGGCCATGGGTTCTCCATGCCCACAGTCTAGGACTCGAGTCTCTCCTCTGATGCTTCCTGGGGGCAGAGGGAGCCTGGTTTCTTCCAGCATTGTCTGCTCAAGGCCCCACCTGTCCTAGTCACTCAGGTTCTCAATCCTGGTGCTGTCCTGAAAGCCTCCCTCTGTCTTACGCCACACGCACACATCAAACGTATATCTAACCCTCTGCTAGGCTTGCTGCTAACTCTCTCTACGCCATTCCTTCACCCATTTCCTCTCCAAGGAACAAGAGTTAGCAGAGGCAGGAGGGGTGGGGGGAGGGGCTCCTAAATCTCAAGATGGCGGTGTGGGTCCAATGTCATAGGCTGAACGTGTGAGAAAAAGTGGTGGAACACGAGAGGGGTGAGTCCCCAGTACTGTGAAAAGAATGGGCTGTGCTGGGTGCTCCAGGCGGTGGATCTCTGCTCAGTTATTAAATTAGGAAGGACCAAACAGGGCCATTTCTGGAGATCAATGACGTTCTTCTAGTAAGATTAGCATTGTCTGGTTGTCCACAGAAAAACCAAAGGAACAGTGAAACTCACCCTCCTCTTCCTCTTCACTCTCACTTTCCAGAAAGCGAGCATCCATTCGAAACCGGTCATCAGCGCCAAAGTGGGACTGTAAACTCATGAGCTGCCCAACAAGACACAGACAATGAATAACCCGATCCCACGGGAGGACAGGGACGGGGACTGGACCTGGGATTTCTCACCCAGGGAAGAAAACTTCTGCCAAGGAAGATCAGTCCCATCCCTCAAACTCAGAGCCAGGGAGAGCTGCCTGGAGCACTAAGGGATTGTGCGACTTGTCGAGAGTCACAGGCAGAACCTGAACCCAGGGCTTGGTGGTTCCCAGCCCCGCCCTCCACCCACTGCACCATGATGCCTTTCTGATCCCAAATAACTCCTCCCAGCCACACTCAGGGCTTCTCACTTGAACCAGAAAAGAATCACAGACGTCTTGCTCGCCGTGACAAGCGCGTGCTGACCCAGCAGAACGTGCTGCGGTCAGTCATCCGGGCTGAAGACGGGAAGGGTTAATGAGCTGCCAAACTCACAATCACAGCTGCCCTCAGCACTAACCCACCTTTTTTCCAGCTTTGCCTTCAAACTGGGGTTTAATTTGGAACCGGGCCTCGTCATCAGTCTCCTGCTCCTCGTCCTCACTGCTCTCAAACAGCTTCCCAGAGGTTTTACTGGCCAAATCCTTAACGGACAAAACAAAACAAAAACCCCACAACCATTTAGGAGGAAACAGCAATTCCTTTTTTGCAATAAAATTTTACGCTTCATGCCCCATAAATATATCATGATTGTCTATTTGAAGATGAAGCGCACAACCACGAGCCACCTGGCTTAGAGAATTCACCACCTTAAACCATGTGGCACAAGGAGGATTCGAAATCAGGTCCTCTTGCCTCCAAGCCCACCTCTGCCACATGGGACACACTACAGAAATGGGAGGCAGAGGTGGGAATCATGGAACAGAGACTCTCGTTAAGTCTTGGAGGAGTCAAAGCAAGAAACCTGAGGTCGCCGACGTGCAGAGAACAGGAGATGGGGCGGCCTAGCGGGAAGGGTGGCTGTAGGAAAGGGGGGCTCAAGAAAGGAGGAGGATGATGGAGCCGTGAACACCAGCATGAGCCTGCCGGATGGCCCGCCAGTCACCGCTGCCCACGTGGGGCACCCAGAGGAGCTTCTGTCACCTACCCGCCTGACTCCGCCTCCTGGAAGAGGCTTGTCGCCACCGTCTTTTTCTTCCGTTTCATCTTCACTGTCAGAGCCGAACAGGATGTGACTTGGTTTGTTGGCTGGATGGCTGTCCTGGGGAAATACGGAACGTGTCAGAGAGAACACCCAGGCTCAGTGCAACCCTAAACCCAGACTGTCAACGTGGGCCAGATGCTGCCCCCAGGGGGGCGGGCACTGTCTTCGCGGGCCCCATTCTTGGCAGCCTTAACATCCATTCATTAACCGACATTCAGACATGCCGCTCCGAGCCCTGGAGGGCCTGCTGGTCCCTCGGCTGCCCCGCTGGCGTGGACGTAACATTCACCAACGTGCTTACTCCAGAGAGTGCTGACGGGGTCAGAGCACAGCTCATCCCAAAGACCCGAGGGTGTGCTTGGCCACCCAATCCAGCTGTTGGGGAGAAAGCTGACTTAGGGGAAAAGGCTTCTGCCAACGCTGACAGGGAGACACTCACCAAGCTGGACAGAGCCCTGTGAACCAGCTGCTTCTGCAGCTCCCGTTCTCTCCTCCTTTCCTCCAAGGCTGCCAAGCGTTTCTGATTATCCTGAGAGTTCCTCGGAGGGCTGATGGCATCAGCTAGAGCCACAGGAGAAGGTGGGCATTCAGTCTCCCTTGCCTGAGACCCCTCTGGGCCCTTCCCTTGTACACGAGAAGGCGCACCATCCCTCCCAACAGAGAGTTGGAGAGGTTTCTTGAACTGTGTTTTCAGAACTGCTGGCTCACGCTCGGGCTCTGGACCTGCAGAAGGCCCAAGGGGGATGGAATCGCTCCCTTCCCCCTTGGGGTCTCCCAATTCAGTGGTGCCAAGGCCATCATCACTTCCCAAGTCTGTCCTACAAGTCTTTGCATTAAGACTCAAGGGTTTCTTAGCACCGAAAGATGACAGGCTAGAAAGAGAAGCACTTTCACATTCAGAACTAGAGGAGGGTGACTGCACAGCACCACGCTGGTCTCCACTGGCTGGCTGCCTCCTTGGAAGTTTTCCAGGACAATGTGGAAGACTGTTGGCTCCATTTGCTTCCTTCCCATCTTGAGGTGGGGACATTTCATCACTGGAATAAGTATTCAAATCAAAGGCTTGTTTTCCCACAGAACTACCAGGAGATGCTTCCTGTTTCAAAGAATCCTGTCCTTTTACCTGAGTGGTAATACCACTGTGCTTAAAGGGTTTTTTTGGTTTCTCCCCTCCATAGAGCGCTCCCATACCCCTGAAAGCCTGAAACTTGGACTTTGACATAGTTTCCTCTGGTGGGTTCTGGCCACTGATTTTCTCTTCTCCTTCTAAGAGGGAAGCCAAAATGTCCTTGGGATTGATGCACCGGGCCCCTTTCTTGGGAGCCTTCTTCCTTTTCTGGCCAGACCCAGTGTCCTGTCTCTTGGGGAGAGCCTGCTCGGCACGCCTGGCATCCCCCCCCGGACTCTCAGCATCTCCATTCGCCAGCTTTTCCAAGTCTGCCAAGGTGAGGTCAAGGCGACAGCAGTTACTCATCATGGACTCATAATCCAAGCTTTCTTCAGACTCACCGCCCTCAGATTCAGGGGAGACCCTAGGCAGCTTTTTAGCGATGCACTTTGTACGACTGACCGACCCTCCTTCACTACCTCTGAGATTTTTCCTTTTACTCATTTCTGTAGCATGACGAGAAGATGGACAATTTGCTCTATTTTTCAGCAAGTCCTCTTTCTGTTTAGATTTGTCTTTTGGTAAAATCGTTTGCTTGTCTTTGCTCTGACCACCATTTCTACCCCCCGCAATGATTTCATCTGTGTCTCCCGAGTCATACTCTTGGTCATCTTCAGCAAGACGAGTGGCATTACCTGAGCGAGGGGCCTGGGGGCTTTTCTGTTTCAACCCTGACCTGACTGGATTCAGCTGGAAGTCGACGCCGACCACTTCAAAGGAACCCTCTTCAGTGCTGTCTGTTTTGGGGAAGGTCGTGGTTTGGGATTTCTTCTCTTCTGCTAGCATGGCTTTTAGTTCTTCTTCAGAATCAATATCATCATCAGACATGCTATTTTTGCTTCTGACAATGGGGGATTTTGAAGTCTGAAGAAACCCTGCTTCTAACTTCTGACCGTTCTTACATTTAGAGAACCCGGACGTAGGAAGATCGGCTGGCCTGGAATTTGCTTTCTGCATGTCCAGCTGTGGTGCTGTGTTTGGAGGGGCCGGGGATGTCAGCTCAGGGTGCCCCACAGTCTTGGATGGGGAGCAGCGAATGCCCCCCACCTTCACTCTCTTAGCAGGACAGTTCCTGAAGGCAGGAAATTGGCCTTGTCGTTTCTTGCTCATTACGTCATCTCCTCCTTCCAACTTCCATGTGAGGTCAGAAATAGACACAGCACTTGTGACATCCTGTTCAAACTTCTTCAGGTTATGGCAATATTTTGATGGATCATATTTCAAGATGTTGGGAACAGTTAAGGCAGAAAACATAAATTGTTCAACAGAAAAACAAAAATTCTGCAGAACTTACAACTGTGGTACAGTGGACTGGACGCCGAGTCTGGCTTCTGGAGCCTTGAGTTTACTTATCTGAAAAGTGAGTGATCTAAACGAAACAATCTCTCAGAGTCTGCGCCTCTAAACTTCTAATACTTTATATCCTGTGCGTGTCAAGGCTCAAGGTTATATATCCACACCAGCAGCTGGCAGCAATGACTCTGGGTTGGATGAGGGTGAAGACAGAGTCCAGCAGCCCCAAGTGGCCCATTCTGGGTTCCCAAGATAATGCTCCCACCCCAACACGGCCCATCATCAGGCCTGGTGTCCAACGAGACTACAGACTGAGCTAAGGTAGCCAATGGGGGTTCCAAGAGGGGCCTCAAAATTGGGCAACCCTCTCTCCCACCTACACCTCCTTCCTTCCCAAAGCAATTCCTAGCTCATCCATGGTATCTGAGTGGGAGATTATGGAAACAGGCTCATCGCCAAGGACACTGCTGATCTTCACGGAGAACAACCCCCTCCCCCTGAATCCATCCCACCTAGCTTAGTGACTTTAACATTCCAAAAACACCGTTTCTGCCCAAGTTTACGGTGACTCCCTGCAGCCTGTTTTAACAGGGCACCTGGGCTTCCCAACCTTCCACAAGCTGCTCTTAAACCCTGAGAGAGATCATAAGCCAGTCACAGACCACCAGAAGCTGGCAAGACCCTTCGAGGCCAAGGATATCGAGGCTCCTGAGTGTGCACTCAGCCAGGCCTGGGGCCATCACACCCCAAGCTTGAACTCATTCCCTCTGTAATTCCAGACTCCTCCAGTGATCTTGACCCCACAATCATCTAAGCTCACATTCCCAACTGCGCGAGGTATCTTCCACAGCTAGACTTCCTATTCTGTACTAGCTAGGATGCTGGCCCCGGGCACCCTGTCAGGGCTAAACAGATGCTGGGTGACTAGATGACCGGACCCTAGGGCACTGCAACCACAGACGGCACCTCATAAACACGAGTCCATCGATGGATGGATCAATTAGGAAGGATATTTTACGTCTGTTCTGGCTTCTAAGGTGCAGGATAGGTAAAACTCTCCCAAACTTACTCACGACCCAATCCTAGAGAAGAAAGAGAAC